TTGTACTATTTTGTAGCTCCCCTCTGTGCCCTGAAGGGGGTGCTACAAATGTAGTCGTTATTCCTATGGTGTGTTGTTTCACTTGCACTTCTTATTTTATTGCATTTTGAACTTTTTTGTAAATTGGTGTTTACTTCTTCGGTGGCCGTTCAATTTTCAATGTCATTCCAAATCACAGGCGAAACAGCGGCCTCCTTTGGCCTGACTTGGAATGTGTGTGTGTTGTCTTTGTGCAGAATTGAAGACATTGCCTTCATAGATGAGTGAAGAACGTCTATATTCCTGCCAGACTTCACTGCATCGTTTGACTGAAACCGTGGACTCCAGGATGCTGTGGTTTCAACAATTCTCACTCACAGTGACCAGAACCAGCAACCTGCAAACATCAACGTTTCTGTTCAGGTTCTCAGTCATCTTATTTTTTTTAATCCTAAAAAGTTTTTAGAGGTAGAAAACTAAACCCTCTGATCCAAGAGGCTGCTGGGAAATCCTGGTATTCAGCCTCTCAGTTGTTCAGACAAGGAGGTTAAATACCAGGAGGGTCCAGACCAGTTGCCAACTTCTAAAATTTTTAGTCGAAACTCACTCAAAAATGAAGGTGCAATATACCTGCACGCACACTGATATATGCACACACTGAGTTTTCATCTTCAGGACCAGGAAATATTGACAACAATTTAACTTTGATTTATACTCTGTTAACTAATGTTAACTAATGTTAACTAATGTTAACTAATGTTAACTAATGTTAACTAATGTTAACTAATGTTAACTAATGTTAACTAATGTTAACTAATGTTAACTAATGTTAACTAATGTTAACTAATGTTAACTAACCCACCGTGATCTGTGTCGTAGTCGATCTGAAGACCACCGTGCTGTGTCTGGTTTTTAGTTTCCGTTTGTGGGATTGAAGGATGACAGAGCAGTGACACCTACAGTAAAGGAGGAGTATTTGTCTGATTTGTCCCCGTTTCTCTTTGTGGAATTGATAGTTGTTTTTTTTTCATCTGTTTTTATAGTTTCCTACTAAAAGTTCCAAACCAAAATATTCAGTCCGCAGACTTTCCTTATCCTCGGTTGGTTCTTGTTCCGTCCTGCTGGCTGTTCGGTGTCAATAACGTTAGGGTTTGTGTCTAATTAGGGAAACAGTTAACAGTTACTGGATTATTGAGAATGAACCAAAAAGTGATACGTTTGCAAATTAAATTAAATTAATTTGTTCTAAAGTCAACAGTCGTGGCGTTTTCTGATGCTGCTGTAAAAATGCTCCATGATTTATGGATGATGTCGTTTGTGGTGCTTTGAACTTACTGTATGTCATGGTGAATAATAATAGTTCCACTAGAAAAACAGTCACATCTCTGTGGAGGAAGTATTATTTATGTTCCCATGAAGACCAAAAAGTAAAGACAAATATTTCTGTATTTACTCAGTGTAAAAAAAATATTACTATATAAACAGTTTTCCTTCAGTTACGACACCCTTTTTTTTGCTATACTTCGGGTGTAATGTTTTTTAAGCCTAGACAGGTTTATATTATATTGTTATTCTTCAGGCATTGTTTTTAAAAGCCCATAAATCCAGGAGTAAATGGTGGATAATCTATTTAACAGAAACCTTTCAACATCCATGACATATTATAACAATAATAATCACAACACAGTGACTGATTTCTTTACCTCACACACGGTGATGAATGGAAACTTAGCGTGAGTGCCTTTGAGTACAGCGGCGTTCTTTCTTTTAAGCAATAATTTCATCCTATTTTCCCCCAGAATAAACTGACCACAGTCCTTTACTTCATCAGGATCCTTTGTAACTGGTGCACCTTGTTTGTTCATCATGGAAAAAAAACGTCAACTTTCATGCATAAAAATAGACTTTAGCACCACAATAGACACGACAGCAACCTTTCAGCGTTATTGTTGTTGTTGTTGTTGTTGTTGTTGTTGTTGTGTCTCTCCTGTGATGTGAAACCTCATTTTTGTTGTTGTCAACGTTGGTGAGACACGTGGGAGGAGCTTAGGTCTGAGACGACGAGAGTGATTTCCACTGATTTACCCACACTTTAATTTGCAGTAGCACTTTCTGTAGATAAAGACTGTGATATATTTTATTTTTAAGATATCTACTAAGCAATGAGATGATTTTATATTAACCAAACATAACGCCTTTATTTTTCCTAAATAAATTTTACATTTACTTTCTGTCTATACTGTTGTAGGAGTGAGCTAAGGTGCAGGCCAGGGTGATGCAGCACACACACACACACACACACACACACACTCACAGTATAGTGATCATTAACATTTTTAAAACACACGTTGATGGAGTGATTTTGTTTCTGCTGTTTTTGTCTGTCTCGATGAATTTGGTCAGAAATCTTGTATCTCTAATAGATCGTTTTATATCCAGTTGAATTATTCGCTGCGCCCTCACCTCCTCACCCACACGTGAGAGAACATTTCATTCATAGTATTGTCCTGGGTGAATGTAAACAGTTGTTGTTGGTGTCAGACCTACAAAAAGCCATGTAACAACATCGTGGAACAATTTTCAAGAGAAAAACCCGTTGATTTATCTGTGTGAATTAATATGAATAATAATAATAATAATAATGTGATAATGTAAGTAATAATGCAAATGGTCTTTCACGCCTACTTCATTTTTATGTGTAGATAAATGTGAAAATGTGCACCGTGTCAGGCTCAGGCTTTACGATGAGGATTTTACAAGGTTTTCAGGGATGAAGTCAGGGTGAGAGAGAGAGAGAGAGAGAGAGCGAGAGAGAGAGAGAGAGAGGACTTTTCAGGGAGGGAGCATCTGTACATTTTTATCCAATAGTGTTTGAGCCATAGCAAAAATAACACCTCATTTCTTCAACCCCAGTGTGACTAATCTAATTTTAAAAAATGTGTTTTATATGTAAGTTGAATTTTAAGTTTTGCTTAGTGAGAAATAAAAACAATTATAGTCCAAATGAAATGTCGCTGTTCTTTGTTTAATTTTGCTTTTTTTTTTGGTAAATTATTCATTTTGCGTGTGTGGATTACGGAATTGTTCGCTAGATGGCAGCAGAGACGCAATCAGTTGTAGAAGAATCCTTCTATGAGAAAGAGCATGTGTATAGTATATGCAATTTCAGAGAAGAAATGCCAGTAAGCACAACAGAACCAAACACATGGCAGTTTTTTTTAATCATCTTCTTCCCTCTATGTTCTTCTGTCCTCTTGAACCTCCTGAATCTGTTTCCATTTTCATTAGTCCTTTCCCTCCCTTCGTGTCCTGCGCCTCTCCCCCGGCTTTTATCCTGGGGTGAAAACACGGTGTGCACATCTGGATGTGATCCGAGCTGCTAAGGAGTAGCCTGTGGGAGGGGTATGGGGTTAAAGATGCACTGTGTTCTGTGTGTACATCTCACCAATGTGTGCATATGTGCCCTGAGGGGGTCATGTGATCCTCACGCCAAAATGCGCCTGATTACAAACAGCTGGCGGTCTGCGGGGTAAACCAATCACGCAATCTGTTGGCTGTGACATCACGAGAGAAGAAAGGGTGGCTGACTGCACTTTTTTTGGGGTCTGCAGTTTGTGAATGATGAATGGAGCTGAGTTTGACTCTCTGTGGGTAGAACTAGATAGTTCCAAATATGCAGATGACTAACAACATGTTAACCAATGCCCATGTAGATTGGTCCAGCTAAAATGAAGATATGGCCCAAATTAGACAATCAGTGTCTGAACATGAAATTGTAATATACACAATATGTGATACTAACACAACACTAAACATTCCTGACAACAAAACAACATTTTTAATTTTCATGTACTGTTGTTAGAACGTCTTGTAGAAAATCTTAGGTATAACGCTACATAAAACATATGGCACTGATATTCTAAATTTAAATATATTTACACTTTACAAATAAAAAAAAAATCTCGAAATACCCCAAACTCAGAGGCTCCAGGTCTAACTGGTCACCTCTCTGTAAAATACATCCAAAACACTGGTGCGTGTTTTTCTCCTTTGTTTTCCTTTTCCTCGTTTTTTAGTACCGGCTGAGCTGTTGTTCTCTTTTCTCGCTGCACAGAGAGGACACTCTGAGTTTCCCTCCCCTCCATCAATCTCTGTCATAAATCTGTCAGGCAGAGAAAAAGGGAACTGCTGAATAGAGATTTGTCAGCAATTAATCTAACCTGAATTACCAGTCTTGGATATTGTGTCTTCTGTCCCAGAGAACAATACGACACTCTAAAGTGGAGCTTTACACTGCATATGTGTGTGTTGTGCCATTGTGGAGTTTGTGTGTGTGTGGCTGTGTGTTCACCTATTCCATTTGGTGTGTCTGCTGAAGCACAGTAATCTGTGTCCTAATGTCATTGTTTTGTTTCACGAAATCTTAATAATTGAATGAATTGAATTGAATCTTGCACACAAACACATGATTACCTGTTAAAGTCTATTTTGTAGTCAGAAAATGTGAGTTTTTATCTCTCTTTTGTGAGCATCATTTATGTTTCATAAAAAACTAAAATTATGTCTGAAGATAACACAATTCTGTTCCCTTTGTTGAGTGAGCAAGTTGAAATATGTTTTAAAAAGAAATCCAAAAAATGTTTCATCATAATTTCAAAATCTGACCAAAAACAGCATGTTAGTTTGTTTAATTGCTAAATCAATTTACCTGATTTTTTTTCAAAAAAATTCTCAAAATACTCTAATTTGATGAGAAGCATGCAGACATGATAAAATTTAGAATTATTTTTCCAGAAAGTTTTCATCATAATTTATAAACATCTGACCAAAAATGACATGCA